GAGAGGGAGAGGGAGGGGGGAAATATCAATGTGAGAGAGAAACATTGATATTGGTTGCCTCCTGTACACACCCCAATGGAGACAGAACCTGCGGCCTGGGTATGTGCCCTGAGTGGGAATTGAACCGGCGACCTTTCAGTGCATGGCACAGCACTCAACCAACTTAGCCACACTGGCCACAGTTAGATCTTCTTCTTTTGTGATATGCCTTAGGACAATCTCCAGGGACTAAGTTATTTAAATAAGCTTTGCTGGCTTTGCTGTCTTTGTTTGATTTAACCCACAGCTCTCCCAGTATAAAAAGCCTTTTCTCTAGGATGTCTAATTTTCTTATTTTGTTAATCCTCATCCGAGAATTTTTCCCATTGATCTTCAGAGAGTAGAAGGGGGAGAGGGAAGAAAGGGGTGGGGGGGACTGAACCTGCGACCCTTTAGTGCGCAGGCGGGCACTCTAACTACTGAGCAAAAACCAGCCTGCACGGATGTCTAAGTCTCACATCTTTTGGCTGCCTAAGACGGTGGATAGCCCTAGTTGGTGTGGCTCAGTGGGTGGAGTGTCGGCCTACAGACTGAAGGGTCCCAGGTTCGATTCTGATCAGGGGGGCATGCCTGGGTTGCAAGCTCAGTCCCCAGTGGGGGGTGTGCGGGAGGCAGCCAATCATTGATTCTCTCTCTGTTTCTCCCTGAAATCAATAAAAACATATTTAAAAAAAAAAAAAAAGACAGTGGATACCAATTGGGAAAACTTAAAAAGATCTGGGTAGAGATATCAAGAAGAAATAATGGCCCCAAACTCCCCAAAATTGAAAAATATCCAGTAAGTTAAACGAACCCCAAGACGGGTAAACGCAGAAATCCACACCTGGACACTCCACAGGCAAACTGCAGAAAGCGAAAGGTGAAGAGGACCGGGAAAGCAGCAGGAGAGGAGACTCCTGACGACGGAAGCTGTTTCCGCCAGCAACCACGAGGGCAGAAGGCCGGGTCACATAACAGTGCTGAGGCACACTCCCTCCAGGGAGCACGCCGTGCCACTCCCTCTCCCGCTCCTTCCCCCACAGGCATGTACCCCTGAACCTCTAAGTGACCCCACGAGACTTGTACCCGGGGAGCAATGGGCACCCTCGGAACCTGTCTCCAAGGCTCCCTTTAGTCCGACAAGCAGCCCCGCCTGGGCGCCCCGTGGCTTTCTCCAGGCCCTCGGCCGCCCTGTCCCTGGGGTGTGCGCTGTGCTCAGTAAGACTAACCGTGGAAAGGGAAGGAGCGAGTTCCACTCCGGGGAGGGCAGTGGGAGCCGACCACTGAACCACTTCCACGTAAAGCAAGCAGCGCGCACTCAATACCCTGGTCTTGCCTTTGTCCCAAAGGCAAGTAACAAATGAAGAAACATTTATTCAAGAAAATCTACTAAAATTCTGTAGGAACAGGGAGTCTGCAGCACTTGAGCCACCACCCACTCCCCTTCACCCCAGGGCCTTGGTTGTTCTGCACTTGGAGGGGCACAGCCAGGACGATGGAGACTACTCTCCCTGCGGCCCCACCCAAGGCCGACCGCAGCTCATGGAGCAGGCACAGCACCTCTCACCCGACCCAGCTCCAAGGTGAAGAGGCGAAATGCCTGGTGATTGCAACCAAGAGGCTGGGGGTCCCCTTCTTCATGTTGTTCCCATCCAGGGAATGGAGGCTCTCACGCAGGCACGGCAGGCTGAGAACACTGGGGCTCCCACCCCGCTCCCAGCTAGCAGGTAGGACAAGCACCCAGGCCAGGAGGGGCAAGCTGAGAAGACAGAGGCTACTGCCCTGTCTAGCACCCCGAGCAGCGACGCAGAGAATCTGCTCGGGGGACAGGCCGTCCAAAGGCTAAGTTGACTCGCGCATGCGCCAATCACAGGTAGGTTTCCATCTGTCATTGTCCATCGTGAATTTGGTTGACACTTCTACTATAGAAAAAGGCGAAGAGTGATTGTTAAAATATTTCTTCTAATTAATTTCTGCACTGGGACACTAGCTAATAAACAATAACACAAGGATGAACTCTGTGCCTTGGCCATTGTGGCTCAGTTGGTTGAGTGGTGGCCGGTTTGATTCTTGGTCAGGGTTCTGGGTAGGCTTGGTCCCTGGGGGGGGGCCTGCAGGAGGCAGCAGATCCATGTTTCACTCTCACATGGATGGTTCTCTTTCCCACTCCCTTTCTCGCTCTCTAAATGACAACGTTTTCTAGGAATGGAGAGAGTCTTATGTCTTACTTTCCAATCTTTATGTCTTCCATTGGTTTATCTGCCAGATTGCGTGACCAGGAGGTCCAATGCATTGTTAAAGAGCAGGGCTGCACCCGACTGGGAGCCCTGCAGTAGTGGTCAGTCCAAGTGTGGCTGGGGCTAAGCAGCAGCCGGAGTGGGGCCAGAGCTTTCACCCCGTGGGCCGTAGCGGGCAGTCTCCAGTCAGAAGACCTGGAGTTCCTGGCAAAGGCAGGCAGAGAGCAATGGCTGGATGTCAGCAGAGAGAACGTCGACTTCAGAACTGGCTCAACGATTCTCTAGCTCTTACTTCAAGTTTCTTGATGTCTTTGAGACTCTGTCTTCTCTACAAAAGGGCCATCTGTCACCTCCCCGCGTGGCTGTGGATGGAGCACAACTGATACACAGAAGGAGTCAACAAGCACAGTTGTGCTACCCTTCGGTGGTCATCGGCGCAGCCACCCTGGCTCCGGGAGGCACCGAGAGCCTCCAGCCGTGCAGGGCACCTCACATTCTGCTCCTGGAGTGCTGTGACCTGGGGCACCCCTGCAGCATTTTTCACCAAGGGCGGGGCCCACAAGGACCTGTTGGGTCCTGCCAGTTGTCTGAGAATGGGCTTGGCAGGCTTTTGGGCCACGGCAGGCTGAGCCAGGGAGGTGGGTGGGCCTACCTGCCACGGGAACTCTGAAAACAGTCCACGGCCAGCACAGTGCCCAGGTGTGACCAGGCCAATTCTTGGAGTGGTCTCATGGGGAGCTGGTGACCTAACTGCAGGGACTGCTCTGCTCCAGACTCTCCAACCAGAGACCAGCCCCTCGAGTGACCCTCTGACCACTGGTGGCCTCTGACACAGGCCACGTGGGACGGACCCGGCCTTGGGGACCTCCACTCACCAGGTCTCTGGGACTTCTCCCAGCCCCACACAACCGTTAGGGTCATTCCCACTCGCAGCGAGAAGTGAACGGCACTGACCAGGCAGGGGCTACAGTGAGGCCCCGAGACACCAGGGCCAAAATTTAAGCAGGGCCTCCCAGTACAGGAGGCCCTTGTGCTCCAAGTAAAAAGAAGTGCCTCCTCCAGCTGTTCGAGTGCCTCCGGCCTCACCTGACCACGATCCTAGGCTACACAGACCAGGTCAGACACTCAGGCTCCAGCTGTTCTTCGTCCCCGTGAAGAACTTGCCAACCGGGCTCACGGCTGCTGTGGTCACCATGAGTGGAGGCTGCCACAGGTCTGATCGTATCGGACTTTTCTACTCAGAGGCTTTGCCCGGATCACAGACTGCGGGTCCTGGGAGTATGCTGGCAGGGCTCCCCCTACACACCTCACAATCTTTCCTTTTTTAAAATACGTTTTTATTAATTTCAGAGAGGAAGAAAGAGGGAGAGAAACATCGATAATGAGAGAGAATCATTGATCGGCTGCCTCCTGCCACCCCACACTGGGGATCCAGCCTACAACCCGGACATGTGCCCTGACCGGGAAACCAAACCGTGACCTCCTGGTTCATAGGTGGACACTCAAGCGCTGAGCCACGCCGGCCAGGCCGCCTCACAATCTTTAAGTGCAAACAGCAAGCCGATTAAGGGGCAGGACAAGTCATCCTGGTAGAATTAAGCTCAGATGGCCTTCCCGAACTGGGTGAGAGTTCCCTGAGAGCTCAGGGAAGGAGCAGGAGGAAGGCAGAAGAAGGGAAGACAAACGGGGCCATTTCCTCTGGTCAAGGGAAGGGTGGTAACGGGCGCTGGGGGAACGCACCCTGACCCTCGTTGGCGCTTGTGCTGCCCGTGGGAACAGGCCTGGGGAAGGGGGCACCCGCCGCAGGACGGCTGCCCTGGGACCAACAGGAAATGTCTCCAGCGGGACTTCTGGCCTCTTTATTCCCAAACACTCTTCCCGCAGGGCCGCGCTTCAGCCACCAGCCGGCCCAAGGGCGAGAGCCTGGCTCGGGGGGCTGCTTCCCGCCCAGCCTTCCCTCCTCCCCCAACAGCTCAGGACTAGGAGCGGGAGGCTTAACGGAGCCGAGAACCCGCCTGCCCTCAGCGGCCCGGGCGCTCGGAGGCACCGGAGCCCCTCCGCACAGTCGCCGGCCCCGGCCCTGCCCGGACGCGGCGGCACAGCCAGGATGCGAGCGAACAGCAGGCTCGGCTCTCGCCTCCAACTGCAGAGACAGCCCTGACGGGCCCCGCGGCCAGGCCCGAGCGGCCGGTCCCGCAGGCTCAGGCCTCGCCTGTCAACAAGCCCGCTGCCAGGCAACGGGGCGCGGGGCGTGGACCGAGACGCCGCCGGGGGAACGAAAACCCAGGCTGATCTGGGGAACCAGCTCGCTATCCGGCGCGGTCTGCACGTCCACCCGGGCTTCCCGACCTTTCACTTTCCGTTTCCGCGCCGGAGCGGCGCCCTCGACTCCGTGAGCGAATCCTGGTTTCCGCGCGGCTGCCACTAGCGACCCGGGGCGCCCGTCGAGGCACAGGCGCGCCCCGCAGCTGTCCGGCCGGGAGCAGAGCCCGGGAAGGACAGGCCCGCCTCCTCCCTCCCCGCCCAGGGGAACTTGGCGCGGGCAGGAGCCGGCGGGAGGCCTCGGACGCTCCTTCCCCCTCGGGCCCTCCGTCCCCACACCCGGCGGCCGAGGCGGGGCCCGCCCTCACCGGGCTCCAGCAGATGAGCGCGTCGGTGTCCGGGTCGCTCACGAGGGTCCACAGCTTGGTCAGGAAGGCCGGGACGTTGCTGGGCCCCGCAGCGCCGGAGCCCACGGGTAAATCCATGGCGGGGAGAGGCGGGAGTAGCGACCGCAAAGAGAGGCCGGGGCCGGGCTAGCGCCGCCGCCGCGTCTGTAGGCCGGGCCGAAGCGGCCGCCGCCGCCCGCTGCGCAGACACGGCCCACAGGCCT